AGATAATTAAAGGCCTGGAGACTAAAACATATGAAGAACTGTTGCAGGATTTAGGTTTGGCTAGTCTAGAGAAAAGTGGAACTAGGAGGGACATAACAGCAATATTCCAGTATTTGAGAGGTTACCACAAAGAGGAGAGGGTCAACTTATTTCCCAAAGCACCAGAGGGCAGGCCTAGAAACAATGGGTGGAAACCAATCAAGTAAAGAAGCAACCTGGAATTAATGAGATTAACACGAGGACAATTAACCCTAACCCTAACAGCTTTCCTTCAGAAGTTGTGGGTGCTTCATCACTGGACGTTTTTGAGAAGGGACTGGACAGTCACTTGTCTGAAATGGATTATGGGTCTTTGGCTTGAGCAGGAGGTTGGTCTAGAAGACCTCCAATGTCCCTTCCAGCTCTATTCTGATTGATGTTTGAAATTCAGTTGTTTCTTTGAAAGAGTGCCAAACTGAATGGTATTCTAGTTTGCAATGATGCATTTATTTATTTTTTTGACCCATGTAAAAGCAGAGGAGGTGTTATCAAGAAAAATAGGTAGTTCCATTAGATGGTCAGCTGCCTCGCATGGCACCACTTGGAAGAAGGGTATCTATCGGCTTTGAAGACTATGGGCATCCTCTTCTGGGAAGGCAACATCTGCAAAATGGTGAATGTGGAATTGTGGCCTAACTCCCATCCTTTTTACATGTATGTGGTGTTGATGTACATACAAAAGAAATGGGGTCTGAATCACGACAGCATAGAATTGGGCTACTGCTGCATAAGTATATTTTATGAATGACAGAAACATCATAAAAATGATTTTCTGTCAAGCTGAGGGACTTGATCATAGGTTTGAACTAATTTGAATTGTTTACCGGTATATTCTATACAATTTATTTTTTTTCCAAGCAAAAGTTAATTGCATGCTAATTAAATGTGCACATTATCTTTACATGGCTTTGTATATATGCATATATTGTATGTATGTATGCGTGTGTGTATGTATGTATGTGTGTGTGTGTATGTGTGTATATATATATATACACACACACGTACACACACATGCATTTTCATAGCATACAATTTTCTAATATCTGAAATTTTGTGCATAGTATTTACTTGAAGAAATACATCACACTGTTTGGAGAAGGGTAATTATTTTCTGGTTTTCATTCTAATTTGAGGAATATGAATGAGGTCAATTCATATTAGAATATGATTTGAGCCTATTTAAAAATTGCAGTAAATCTATTTTGTACGTAATGGCTTTGGAAGAAATATTATGTTCTTTCTCGGTACATAGAACTACAGCAAGAAATCTGAGTCAAAAGTCCCTTTCAAATATTTTTGTTCATGGGTATTCTGTCAATGCTGTTTTGACTACTGGTCTGCAGCTGGTAAGGTGCATAAATCCTGACTTACAGTGCACCATTATTTTACACATAAATGGTAGAAAACATTCAAAATAAAAAGTAGAGCTTATTTATATTTCTGGAAAAGTAAAGGTGAATGTAATTGAGAAATGACAGCAAATGATATATGATAAAGGATATCTATGATGTGATAATGATGATAATGAGTACTGATGTTTAAAAAAAATCAGTTGACGACATCTGTTATAAAAGTTGTTCTTATGCTATTTGCATAATTTAAGCAGAATATAAGTTTTCTGAAGACTGCATTCCCAATACATTTTCCTTCAAATGAATATCATAGATATCAATCATGTACTAGGTCACTTTCCTCCTTCTGCTAGAAAAGGAAAAGAAAAAATGGGACAGAATTCTTGAAAAGTTGTGGACTGAGACTAGAAAAGAGTGGGATTTTCCACATTTCTATTATCTCGCATTAAAATCTAGAATTTCCTAGAAATTGGTACTCCAGAAAAATTCCAACTATAGAGCTATCCTCTGCATTATTGAATACTTTGCAGCTGAATTCTTAAGGTCAATGAGAACCTTTATAGTGTATAGAGATCTTTTTAGTTGAACTTTGATTTCATTATGTTTGGGGGGATTAGTCTATTATCCAAGGAGGGAGAAAGGACCAATCCACTGGTTAGGTCTTCAGATGTTCAAAGACTGCTATTACATCTCTTTTATTTGTAGACTAAACATATCTCAGTCTTTTTTCTATTCTTTATATGGCTTGGTTTTCCAGACTCCTTTTCATCTTGGTAGCCTTCCTCTGAACTAGTTCCAATTTATCATTGTGGTTATTTTTTAAATGATGATGCCCAGATTTGGGCACAAAATTCTAAATAACATCAGAATTGGATAGAGTAGAAGAATTATTGCCATTATGAATATGATAATCCATCTCAAGATAGAATTTACTTTTTTAAGCAGCTGGATCACACATTTTGCTCAATTTTAACTTGTGGTGAAGAAGGTGATCCAGATCCTTTCAATACATATTTCTACCAAACCAATTTCCCCTCCCAATTGTTGGAAGAAAAATCCATCTAGTTCAGTTCCAAGTCGGAAGAAAGACGCTGGAAACATGGAAGCTGATTGGAAAGATGGTTTATTGAGGGACAGGACCACATGGGTTTCAAATCCTGGGCATCTGAACATATGGAGCGGAGAGTGAGAAATATTTATACCGTCTCTTGGGCTTTGAACTTGAGCTTCCTGTTCCTGTGCAAGAATATGTATTCTATTGGCTGTAGTCAGACTCCCATGTTGAGTCATGTTTGTCTGAATCAATTTTGGTTGAACCCTGAGCTGATGTAATGTCTCCAGGTGATTTTGCAATGCAGTGAGCGCTGCTGCTAGATAATCCTATAATATCCTGGAGGGTCATGCCTTAATCCCATCACCTTGGAGCTGAAGGTCTTTTGTTTTGTAGATAGGTTAGCCCAGTCTTTCTCAATGGGCACCAAATAT